TTTTTAAAACATAAGATTGAAAGTTGCAATGTACTTAAGTGCTAAAATTTAGAACGTTTAGCACATATTTCAATAACAGGTTCTTTCCTTTATTTGTTAGATTCATGTGTATACATAAGTCATTTATAAAAGAGGGCAGGTGGCCTGGCAGTAAAGCTACGTTAGACTGGGTAAGATTTTAGGACTTTGTCTTCTATGGATACATTTTAGGACTTTGTCTTCTATGCCCGAGGATGGAGCATTAACTTGCCCAGTTCTTTACACATTCAAGTTTTTCTCCCCATCTCAGTCTCCATTCCAAGAAATTTAAGCCGCATCATGTACAGGCTTTAAAATCAGCCTCATCCAACTCTTTGACCTGAGAGCAATTCCTGTCCTAGGCCTGAGGAAACTGAACAAATACATATGCCAGCTCAGATTCAGGATGGTAACAGTTGACTCTATCAGTCCATCTCTTCAGGTTCAAGACTGGTTCATGACTGGACACGTAATTCTACGTAGCCATCCACCTAGCCCACAGGATGCACCTGAGATTTGCATTGGGGTCCAATCACCATCAGTCCAAAGTACTGCCCTGTGGACTCTCCACAGCATCAAGGATCTTCATAAAATGCCTAGCAGTCATGGTACCCATCTGAGAAGAAAGCATTCACTTCTGCCTGTACCTGGATGATTGTCTGATGAAGACAAAATTTGGCAGGAGATGGCAGCAAGCTTGGAATATGCCCTCTTCCTGTTCATCCAGCTAGGTGTCCTGGTGAACAATAAAAAAAAATCATCTCTTATCCTGTCACAGCTGTGTACAGGCCTCCTCGAGCCACTTTACCCTGTTTACAGGGGCCAGTGTGAGGATGAGAATCTCACACCAAGCATTGAGAATTACTAAAAGTGGTACAGTGATAACTAGGAGCCATGAGTTGAAATTAAGAAAAGAAAAATTCATAGAATAGAATCATAGAATATCAGGGTTGGAAGGGACCTTAGGTGGTCATCTAGTCCAACCCCCTGCTCAGAGCAGGACTAATTCCCCATAGTTGCCCCAGATCCCTAAATGGCCCCCTCAAGGATTGAACTCAGAACCCTGGGTTTAGCAGACCAGTGCTCAAACCACTGAGCTATCCTTCCCCCCTAAGTGATACTTGCATAGAATATCAGGCATGGAAGGGACCTCAGGAGGTCATCTAGTCCAACCCCCTGCTCAAAGCAGGACCAATCCCCAATTTTTGTCCCAGATCACTAAATGGCCCCTGCAAGGATTGAACTCACAACCATGGGTTTAGCAGGCCAATGCTCAAACCACTGAGCTGTCCTTCCCCCCCAAGAAAGGGGCTTTGAACCCGCAGCCTCCTACACACTGGGCGCACACCACACCCCCCAGACTACAGCGGGCTAAGGCAAAAAATCAGAAAAACTACGGAGAATGAGATTTATTAGAATGTGGAATAGTCTGTCAAGGTTAGCAGTGGAAGCACCATCACTCTGGTGCATTTTAATCTAAACTGCACAAAGTGCTGGAGAACATACAGTAGAAAATAGTCCTCTACTGGCTGGGAGATGGATTTAAGTAATCTAACAGATATTTTCTCACTTTTATGATTTTCCATTGAGGAAAAACTATGTAATGCTGTCTGTATAACTAATCACAAAGACAGAAATCCTTGTTGGACACACATCCTGTTAACAACCTTAAAACTCAAACTAATCTTTGAAAAGTAAATTGATATTACATTAAAATGCTTTCTTAATTATTGTATTTTGTCAGTAATTAAGGCTTATTTCTTTTCTTATATTCCACTGGATCCTACAGAGGTCCTTTGACGCTAGTTTTACTTTTTATATGTTGTGACGGGGCAAGGCCAGATGGCTATAGAAAAGTAGTGGGAGATAGATCTATTAGCTCCAGGCTAAACAAATCCCTGGTACCAGGTTAAGTGAAATGGAAGCTGTTCCAGGTCAGTTAAGACACCTGAGGTCAATTAAGAACTTTCCAGAAGGCAGGGAGAAGGCTAGGTTGATTGGGACACCTGAAGCCCATCAGGGGCTGGCTGAAACTAGTAAAAAGCCTCCCAGCTTGTCGGGGGGGTGCATGTCAGGAGCTGTGGAAGGAAGTTGCGCTGTTGGAGAGGCTGAGTAGTACACACCATATCAGGCACAAGGAAGGAGGCCCTGAGGTAAGGGTGAAGTGAAGCTTGAGGAAGTAAGGGCTGCTGTGGGGAAAGTAGCCCAGGGAATTGTACATGTCATGTTTCTAAAAGGTCAGCGACCATAGCTGATACTATTAGGGTCCCTGGGCTGGAGCCCGGAGTAGAGGGTGGGCCCGGGCTTCCCCCCCCCCCCCCACCTTTGCCCCCTGATTAATCACTGAGACTGGGAGACCACAGAGACTTGCAAAGAGTTATCCTTGCAAGGAAAGATAACTTCTCCTCACCTCCCTTGCTGGGCTTATGATGAAAATGGCTCAGTAGACTGTGACCCTCGCCTCTAGAGAAAGAAGGGTTACATGGAGGGTCACAGTGAGCCTCTGAGGCTAGCGAAATCCGCCAGGAAACGCGGGACCCAGGGAGGCAAGGACAGAGCTTTGTCACAATGTTTACTCTTTACAGAATAAATTAAAAATAGAAGGGTAAATATCCCCTTAAAACTATTGAAATTGAAACCTTTTTTTATTCTTGTAGCTGTAATCTGCCCCCTACCCCTTTTATTTTTTTCCCAAAGGGGCATCACGCTAGCCTTCTTTTATTTCATTTTTTTATTAAGTCGAAGTTACAATGAAATGTTAACTTACTACATGGTACATTACTTATGCAGGATCAGGTTAATAGTCAAAGAATCTGGCTAAATATTCTGGCTTGCTGGTTGGGAAGTCCTCCTCTGAGTATGATAAAAAGGGTGACCCAATTTCTAACTAGGTGTTCTTTTTTGGGCGCTTATCATGTTTGTGTACTTGATATATGTGACCCGAAGAGCCCTAATGCCCACTAGCACAGGTACTCTGTCTCTCCTGAGACCGACCCAACTAACTCGCTTCACCCAATCTCTTGTCATGATATTTATCCAAAAGGTAAGTGTGTAAGGTATCATCTAAAAGCTACCACCGCTCTGGTTATTAATATCACTGTAAAATGCATATGCTAATGTTGTATGTGAAGTTATGAATTCTCTCTGTGTGATGTTACTAGGACATGTTTTAAGACAAGACAGCCTAGCCTAGGTAAAGGTGATAAACAGATCTGTCCTAGACAAAGAGAAGTGAGTTTACCTCAATTTACATATTAGCAGTAAACAAAGCCATCAAGCTAAACCAGGGGGTTATCCTGCTCCTGAACTCGACAGAGAATTAACGTGGGTCCTGTGCCCCAGGGAGACTGAATCTCCCGGAGGCCTTCCTGACTTGTAAGACAAAAACAACCCCTTTGGGGATATAAGGAACAGAGAGATACTCCATCTTTATCCTTCACCTTAGGAGACAAAGAAACAAAGCAATTTGATCTGTGTGATGGGTCCTGGGCAGGCCAACCAGTAAAAGCAGGAAAGGAGACCGTGGGTGAGAGAAACCATCTTGAACAAAGACTGCATCTTGGTTGATTAAGTTTTGGACTTCTAGCTGTGTGTTTTCACTTTTATTTGCTTGTAGATATTTTTGCCTTTATCTCTTTTACTTGATATCACTTAATCTGTGTACTTTTGCTATTAACTTGCTTTGATTATAAATCAGCATTGTTGTGTAAGTTCCGTAAAGAGTATACTTCTGTAAAGCTAACAGCTTGGAAGTGTTTTACTGTCTCCATAAAGGCAGTGAACCTCTCACTTTCTCTGTGAGGATCCAAGAGAGGGACTGGTCCCTGCAGTAGGATGATTTGGAGGCAAATTTGAGGCTGGAAGGGTACTAAGATCAGCCTACAAGGAGTAACCAGGTTGCGCAAAGCCAGAGGATGGCTTGTGCGCTGCTGACAGTAGGGAAGCCATTTTTCAGGTTATAAACAAGTCTTTTTGTTATAAACCAAAACCAGTTATAAACCAGTTCTTTGTCCCCCATGTGGTAATGAGACAAACCCGGACATGGTTTTATCTGGTACTGGGCAAGGGAAGCCATAAAGTAGAGCATGCCGCTCCACCCCCGACAGCATAACCTCTCACACATGGTGTGTGCAAGATCATGCCAGCAGGAGTGGGGGTCGTGGTGGTGCGCTCTTCATTATGGCACCCCACATAGAGTATGACCTTGCACACATGGTGCATGCAGTGTCACGTGGAGGGGGATGGGCATGCCAGCAGGGGCAAGACCGTGCGATTTCACACGTACCAGAATGTGTGACATTCCAGGAATGTGAGAGTAGCCACAAGACACCCAGAGTTTCAAGGCAGACAGTGATTAAACCCATTACTGATCTGGGTGAACCCCAAAATGTCAAAGCTTGAAAGTTTTTCCAGTACATGTTTTACAAGGCTACAATTGCATAGGAGAAGTCACATTGCATGTAATATGCAATACAAAGTCTTGCTGCTAAAAACATCCCCTCCTTTTACATTTTTGTTAAAGTGAAAATGTTGTGCTTTAAACCCTGAACATGCATTTCAGGGGTAGCATTAGCAAAGTCTGATGATTCTTTTTAAATGTATTTGTTATGCATGCAGTTATGTTGGGGAGCATAAAATATATTGAAACAGTCACATTTGCTCAGTATTTTTGACATTGGGTTTTTTTAATTTAAGGAAGAAAGAGTTGTTTGGCAGTGTCATATCTGTACAGGTGAATTTCATGATCTAAAAAATTTTCTGACACAAATGGTCTACACTATTTACTTAATTCTGTCTTTTATTATCTGCCTCTCTTCCTCACACATGCACACAGTATTTTTGATCTTTATTTTCATCTTCCTGTAAAATTTTGCAAACTGAAATTCCCACAAATGTAAGCCATTAACTCCATGACCTTGTGAACGCAGACTTCACCCAGCTCTCTTTCAGCTTTGTTTTTGTCCTTGTCTTGTTATTGACAGGTTACCTTAGGAAAAGTGCTAAAAGTGATAGTGGTGATGCGAAGTCTCTTCATTGACCGGACAATCGTAAAAGGATATAATGAGGATGTCCACACTGAAGATGGCAAGGTAGGGTTTCCTCATCTCTAGCAGGGCTAAACTTCGTATTTACCCCGATACCCTGGTTTTTGAGAAACTACAAAAAAGAAGCCTCATCCCACGTATGTTTGCGAACAAGAAACCATCACAAGAGGCTCGGCTGATGTTTTGCAAAGCTTTTCAGCTTTAAATTTAGCACACTTCACTCAGATTCTTCATACCCAAACGTCTGATTTTTCTCTAAGCCCTGGTGCCCTTGCTTGAATTTCTAATTTATCACCTTACACCACAGTTGCCTCATTAATAGTGTCTACTGAGGAAACATTTTTTCAATGTACCAGCACATCAATAGCCCAGGGTTCACATTTCTCGTCTCTGAGAGCCACTGGGAAATCTTGGGCTAGTTTTATACTCAAGTTGATAAACTCTGTTATGAAAATCGTTGGTAGCCCTCAATAAGTTGCTTGTTGGTAATAGTACATCTCGAACAGCAGCTATTAAAGAAAGTGTAACCTGTATTTCCTTGAGTGACTTGCTTTATGAAAAATTCAACCTGCTTGAACCTCTACTTTCTTTTGATGGCGCGCACTCCATATGGCTCTCTGTATAGCATCAGAAGATGTTAATGGGACCTGACAGCCTTCATCTTAGTTTTATTTTCTCTTTCAGAGTGGAATAAGCTCTCTTGCTGAGACACCCAACACAACTCACCCTTGCCAGTAACAAGTACTGAGCACCTCTGTCATTCACATTCTCTCAGGAGCTTTCTCCCCTTATTATGAATCCCATTAAAATACAAAGTTCTTTATAGCTAGATGAGCATGTGGCACCCATAGGCCATGTTATAATGAGAGATTTTTTCCATTCAAAAGAGGAACCCGTGTTTTAGCACACGGCAGCATGTTATGTACTGACCCTTAAGTTCAGTGGCTGAGTTTGAACCTCTCTTCCACAGAAGAGGTTAAGAGCTCTCTGTTAAAGGGAAGTACAACTCTGTTTTCCAGGTAAGAAATTCTCCCTTATGGAGTGGGGAGAATAGAAATTGCTTGAGAGCCCACTGGTTTTAAATCTGCACGCTTAGTAATGCAGATTAGGTACACCCTCACTTATCCATCAGATACACCCTGGAGCAGGAGATATTCTGGATATTAGTGAATAAAAGGAGACTCTTAAAAACCATAAAACCTCTGGTTTTGCATGCAAGTAAAACGATAACCCTACTCCTCTTAAAAAGCATTGATAATTTGATGAGAGGAGTGTACCATTTCAGCTTCACTTCCAGTCTTTGCCAACACTTGCAGTGAGACTGTATGAACTTGTGTCACTCACTCGTCAGCTCACTATTCCACTAGGCTAGTCTAGGACTTTACTAGTCCCAAACCTGAAGGCCCAGATTATTTGCAGGTATAAGCAGGCATAATTCCTTTGAGTTTGACGGAGTTGTGTCCACTTAAACCAGCAGCAATTTTGACTTAAAAATGTTGAGTGAATAAATATGTAGCTTGCTAGTTTGCCCAACTGGAATGCATATTGACAGGCAGTGGGCTACCTGTTTTTCCCTAATTAAATATGTTGGTAATTGGAGAGGAAGAGTAGGGCTGAACTCTTGCAGTAATGCTCTTTACTTTCTGTGTCTGCTGGGAAGGCGTGATTATAGTAAATTCCATTTCCTTTTCCCTTGTGACAGACGCTGTGGAAAAGAATTTTAGAGCGGTTGCCTACTGCAACTCCAGCTCTTCTACTCCCAGAACCAAAAAAGAAGAGACAGAGGAATAGAAAGGAAATGGAGAGAATTGTGGAGAGATTTCAGACATCATCTTTGAGAGAGAGAGAGAGAGAGAGAGAGTCAATACTTAGGATTGCAAAAGGAGTTAGGAAGAAATTTTCCTTATGAGCCGGTTATTTCATAGGTGTCCATTTCATGATGTCTTGCTTGTTTCTTGGAAGCATCTGGTACTCATCACTATGAGCGAGAAAATTCCTGACTAAATGGACCAATGGTTTCATCTACTGTGGCAATTCCTATGTTTCTGTCTTTATCATAAACCAAATAGGAAATAGAAGTTAGAACAATAGTAGTAGTTACATTGTGCTTTGTGTTTAAATTGCTGTACAAACATCATTCACTTAATTTTCCCGATATTCCAGTGAGGCAGGTCCAATAACAGTTTAAGGTGAAATGTGCACAGGAAGTGGCTTGGAGGAAAGGATGGGGAGAGTTTGGACAAAAGAGGCAGCAGAATTAAGAGGAGCCCCCTTACTGGAGAGTTCCAAGACATAAATAGGAGGCCAAAACTGGAGGATTAAGTGTGAAGGTAGGGCCAGAAGATGATTTGAGGTTAGAGTGGAAGGTGGATCTGAAAAGAGACATGAAGGCAAATGTATGTGGGTCAGGGGCATGAATAAGTTTTTATGTGGTTTTGATCTTGGAGAGGAAGAATGTTACACTAAATGCTGAGGCGTTTGGTATGAGAGTAGGGTAGATATTGATACTTCTAAGGATCAGAGTTTAGGATTTATAGATGCAGTGAGTTTGGTGGATTCTCTTGGACGCTGTTGAGCCACACAGGATTGGCATAGTTAGGAACAATTGGCAGTTGCAGAAAAAAATTTAGAGTAGAATAGCCAGGTTATTACATGTCATTATGGAAGTACATTGGCAGAGCTGAGTAAGGAAGCTGCCAAATAGCTAGCTTCTACTCTATCTGAGTGCAGCAAATGCAATTAGTCAATCATTTTTATTCTTATGAGAAAAAAATAACACTGTATTCAAAATGAAGAGGAAAAAATAAATCTAGCAGGCGGTCTTAACCTAACATGGGGAGAAATTGGACAATGTTTGTTTTGTGGTTTTTTATTTATTTATTTTAAGATTTCTGCATACTGGCAAAGAAATAAGGACCAGTCATTTTCTGAAAAGGTCTGGTTGTATTTGAATTAGGAATAAGTTCCTACTTAACTTGCAATATTGTGGAAATTGTGGATTCCACAATATTAAGCTTCCACCTAAACTTTGACAGCGGGAGTCCTGCCATGAGTGGGGCTGACAGTGGGAGTCCCCACTCTCAGTCCCAGGCTGCCGAAAACAGAAAGTCGCAGAAAAGTAATAATGGACTTTATTACCTCAAATAATAAGATCCGTTGTTACTTTTCTGCAATTTTCCATGGCTTGTCCACAACTCAGCTGCAATTATTATTATTTTTTTTTGACAATCTCACTATTCAAGTAGGGCCCTAATTATGAAGCATTCAAAAGACCTGCCGAACTTGCTTTTGCCAGATTGCAAACGATACCCCGCACGCCTTTTTGTTGGATTTTTTTGAAAAACAGTAGGTGAGACCTGGCAGCTCTTTCCATACAATAGATGCTGTATTCTGATGGTTGTGCAGTCTCCTCTGCTTTATTGCTGGCCCAGTACATTCCACCACATGCTGATGCATTTTAATTAGTCTGTAGTTGTAGAGGTGGCATTGTGCCTCCCCTAATTTCAAACCTTGACATACTCATAGTGCACTGCAATCCAGACATGGAAAGTAATTATTAGTAAGGCTAAGATTTTGTTGTGGTTATTTTTAGTAAAAGTCACAGACAGGTCACAGGCAATAAAGAAAAATTCACAGAAGCCCATGACCCGTCACTGACTTTTCCTAAAAATACTCATGATAAAATGGGAAGGGGCTGTGCAGGTGTGGGGTGGCTGGGAGCTCTAGGGCCCCCACCATCCGTGGGGGTTCAGAGCTCCAGGGTCTGCCCCACTGTGGTGCCTGGTGGGGAGTTACGGGAGGTCCCCCTGCCCTGCCACGGTGCCTGGCAGGGAGCTGTGGGGAGTCCTCCTGCCCCACCGTGGCAGCTCAGAGCTTGGGGGCCTGCTGCCTCTGGCAGCAGGGGTATCTCACAGCTTCCTGCTGCTGCAGGAGGCGATGGGACCCTGCAGCTCCCAGCTGCCGGGGCTGAAGTCATGGAGGTCTTTGGAAGTCACGGATTCCGTGACTTCTGCAACCTCCGTGACAAAACCATGACCTTAATTATTAGTAATGTCATCCAGATTCCTGAAAAAATAAATCCATGCAGCTCATCCTTAAGGGCAGGCTTTCATGAACAGAGCCATTAGTATCCTAATTCTGCTAATAGAAATAAAATTGCATTAAGATTTGTTTAGAGAGACAAGGTGGGTGAGGTAATATCATTTATTGGAACAACTTCTGTTGGTAAGAGACAAGCTTTTGAACTACACAGAGCTCTTCTTCAGGTTTGTTTGGCATGCTGACAGGCTGCTTTTCTGTAAATACAGAGATGGGGAAGAACCATGACATGGCATATTTGGCGTGGGTATTTAACATTACTGTTCAGACAAATTCCTAATTCTGCATTAGTTAGACTTACTTAAAGAAACATAAGTGTCTCAGTTGAATTATCATGTTAAGGAACTTGGGTTATGTTAATGCTAAGGCTTCATTAATTACCCCATATCAATAAAAAAAAAAAGGGCAGCTTTTAGCCTCCTAGCGTAAGAGAGGAAAAGAAATAGTAGTATCAAAGGAAAGCTTCAAAGACAGCCAGAACTGTCTCTTGGGTAATTTCTGATCCCTGCATTCTTTCCACTTCAAAGCTGGATGTGTGTGTGTTTGGGTGGAAGGGGGGGTTGAATCCGATTCCACTAATAAGTGTTGGCACCAACCGTGTTTGATATTAGATGCAGGGAACATTTTGATTTGTTATCGCCTTTGAAATCGTTCAGACGACCTTCAGAAAATGGTCTCTTGTTACTTATACTAGGGACGGGTGGGGAGAGTGGGGCACTGGGAAAAAAAAGCCCCAGTTTAATTCAGATGCAGAGGATGCCCCGAAATTGTGCTTTCAGCAGTTTTTTAGATACAAATGTGTATCTTGATTGAAAGTGAAAAGTTGACGAATAATAGATCTGTAACAATGCATTCTTTAGTACGCCTACCTTATTCCTCTTTTTTCATGGAGAAAAGTGGACAGTCATTTAAGATATCTGCATGTGTGTTGGGGTTTTTTTAAACTT